AGCCTCTCACCAACTCCGCCAATGTGCTCTGACCTTGCCTTGGCAATGAATTTTGAAGAACCTGGAGGCGGAATTATACTTCTTTTAAAGAGCGCTGGTGTTTACATCTCGATACATCAACGTCTCGGAATGTAAAGATGTCATCAGCCCAGTGCTGGTGCACTCTTGCTTATAGTGTGATGTTATTACATGAGCGACCAAAACTATGGCTGGAATCTGCCTCCGATGGGCACCACAGAAGATGGAATAAAAAGATCCATATCCTCAAGTACCACATCAGCGACAGAATCAGCAGCACTCCTGGGATTGTCCAGCGAGAAGCAAATTCGCCCTCAAGGGTAGAATGCAAAAAAAGACCGCATCCTTTCCCAATCGGCCGATCTGCAGTGCCAAACACGGCGGCTACCTGCAGAATGCAACCGCGAAGATAGTGTGAGTGACATCACCCTCCGGACAAGACAATGGCTCTAGGAGCCGTGAGGGGTGTCGACGGAAACCTGATATCCGTCCGGATAAGAGGTCAGCAGAAGTTTCAACAGGGAAGGCGCATGATCCTCCACATCTGGAATCCGCGTAGGCAAAGTAACCAGCTTTCCGGCAAATTAACCGGCAGATTCTCCGTCACCAGGATTCTGGTACCCTCCTGGGGTAGTTTTTTATTTGATTCTGCTACCATACTATTAGGGGGGGGGGGGAATTGTGCCTCCGACCACCTACACCTATCAAGTGAAACGCAGAAGTAAAAGTAAGTTGCCCATATCAATACCATCCGTGTTCCCAAAGGTATTTGAGGCTATTATCTGTCCAATTATAAATTGGCACATGAAATCAATACTAACGGATAGGCAGCATGGATTTTTGAAAGGAAGGTCCACTACGTCAAATCTTTGTGAATATATTGATAATTTATGTGTGTCTGTGGACAATAACCTTCAAGTTGATGCAATTTATACAGACTTCTCTAAAGCGTTTGACGTAGTGAATCATTCCATACTAATAAAAAAGCTTGAATGTTATGGATTCCACAGCTCCTTTTTAAAATGGTTGTTTTCTTACTTACACAACAGAAAGCTAAAGGTTGTAATAAATGGATTTCAATCTGAGGCATTTATAGCATATTCAGGTGTGCCACAGGGCTCACACTTGGGGCCAACCCTATTCAACATTTTTATAAATGATGTAGTAAATTGTTTCCTGAACAGTGATGTACTTCTCTTTGCAGATGATTTAAAATTGTATAAAGAAATAAAAACCGCTAATGATGGAAACTTACTACAAAATGATATTAATAGGCTAGTCTCCTGGTGCGAGCTTAATAATGTAATCCTTAATCGTGAAAAATGTTACCAAATATCTTTTAATAAAAAAATCCATCTGATTTATAATGAATACAATATTTATGATATTGTCATAAAAAATACAAATGTTATTCGTGATTTAGGTATATTAATTGATTGTAAATTAAGTTTCACTACGCATATGGATCAAGTTATAAAAAAATCATTGAAATTTTTAGGATTAATTAAACGGGTAACTAAAACTTTAAAAAATAAAAAAACCAAAGTAATTCTTTTTAACTCATTTATTCTTAGTAATCTTGAATATTGTTCTTCTGCCTGGAATCCATACTATCAAACACATATAAATAGGTTAGAACGAGTGCAAAAGAAATTCCTTAAGTACCTTTTTTTCAATAATAATAAAATACACAGGCAATTAACATACACTGAAAGACTACATAATTGTAATATGATTTCATTAAATGATCGAAGAGCGCTTATGAACTTGTGCTTGTTACACAAAATCGTTAACAATAAAATTAGCTCAAACAATATTTTAGGTAAAATATCATATGTTGTTCCTAGACCTAATTCTAGAATAAGAAATTATAGTTTATTCAAAACTAGGTATTGTAGAACAAATGTCGGATTATCAGCTCCAATTAATAGAACCTTAAAAACTTATAATGTAATTTCTAAATTGGTCTACCTTGACATATTCAACGATTCTTATACCACTTTTAAAAATAAAATTAAAAAACATTTTTATAACAAAATTAAGATCACCTCATGAGTTATTGTAGAAAAAAAAACCTTTTTTTTTTGTTTCATGTATTAAAATATGTTATTTTGTTATCTTTTCTTCTTATTTTTTCAACAATAATGTGCGTTACTTATTATTTTACTTTAACATGTTAAGTTAGCCTATAAGTATGATATGTACTAAACTTAAGATTAATCAATAAAATTTGCAAACATTGTTTCTTTGTACAATATCATGTTGGCTTCCTAAATAAATAAATAAATAAATACTTCACGCTGGTAATCTGTGAGGTCGTGATACTACCCTGGTTCGAGCTGGCCCATCCATGCGATAGCAAAAGCTGCCGCGTGGCTCTATCACTGTTAAAACGTAAACATGGAATAAATTCTATTTACTTTTTTCTGCCCATCATAAATAAACAACCGATACACAAGAATAAATTATTTTCTTCATTATCAGACAAGTCCAGTCTTAACGAATAAACCAAACGCCAAACTCCCACTACACACCCTGATGGCGACTAAAACAATGTATCGCTTAAAGGCAGATAATTGATAAGTGCCCGCATGAGGCGATGCCGCATAAGCACCTCGCAACGTGAATCTACCTGTCCTATTCATAACTGCCTTTACGTTTTACGGAATTAACCGGTTAATTTGGCTGTCGAAACCGTTAAGTAACCGGTAACCTTTATCGTTTAGGTTTAATAAAAACTGGTTAATTTTTTAACCGGTAATTGAAGGAGCGATAAATTTACCGGTAATTAATCGAATTTAACCGCTCTTTTTAAACCGGTTCCGAGCCCTGGTATTTAATATTAATTTTATTTTACTATGGTTATTAGGTTAATAATTATTTATTTATTAATAAAATGTTTATCAATAAAATAATTATAAATATTAAACTTTATAAAAATAGAATAGAAATAAATGTAAGTATATTATTTAAAAATTGGTAAACATGTATACGAGCCATAGTAGCTCAGACGGTTAGCGCTCACTGCAAATTTCACACTACGCGAGCAACTTGAGTTCGAGCCCTGCCGGCACCGATGAATTTGTTAATTGCACCGCGGCGGATATTTTCTTTTCTTGCCCTAAAACTAATCTAATAAAAAAATAAACAAAAAGTGAAATTATTTTTGTTTTACTAAAAGCTTTTGTAGTTGTGTGTGCTTTGAAATTAGGGAATATTTTTTCACCTTCCTGGTAATTATCGCATACTAAATCGTGTTTTAGATTTGTTGTTATCTCTTGTTTATGAATAGTTTCTTACGTATTATGTAATGTCAAATTTTCGTAATAATTGGTTATGTTGCAAATCATCTGTGTTATTAGTTTTGAGTGAATAGGCGTATATCAGGTGTGTTATTACAAATACTTGTATTGATAATTAATTTCAATAGTGTAAGGTTATAAAATAAAACTGCGTTTTGTTGTTCTTAGTGTTGACATAATTTATTTTCTACACGTCTATTCTATACACGTCCCACTGCTGGGCACAGGCCTCCTCTCATTTCTGAGAGGGTTTTAGGGCAAGGAAAGGTCCGCCGCGCTGCCCCAATGCGTGTTGGCGAACTTCACATGTCTTATATATATATATTCTTATTTGTCAGACATGCAGGTTTCCTCACGATGTTTTCTCGTTTCACCGCCGAGCACGTGGTAAATTAGCACTTAAAATTGCAATTAACAATTTCTTTGGGGCCGGCGGGATCGAACCCGGGTTTCTCGCGTACTGAGAAACTTACAGCGAGTGCTAACCATCTGAGTTACCACGGCTCATTTTACAAATATAACTTTTATTTTTATAACATAATCGTAAAATACTGGTATTCAGTTGAATCCGGTTTGACTGGGAGCCGACTCCATAGTTGGGAAAAAGGCTAGGCAGATGATGAATCGTACATAATAATATATATCGTAGCAGGTGGCGTTCTGTAGTTCTGCCTACCCATACAGAAAAAAGGAAAACATTTTTTTCATTCACGCCATCTAGTGTTCAATTTTTGTAAATGTAGGGACTAAGAATTCACCCACGTCTGTGTGTGTAGTGTGTACACGACGCTATATTCAATGACAGATGTTATTTTCAGACTTTGTGTTGAATTGTGTGGATTTTGGGGCAATGATATGACCTAGTAAAATAAAGTATAATGTTTCAATTACATAAAAACCCAAATAAACTAAAAAATTATGCCTTCAGCGCCATCTCGCGGGAATATGGCCGGGAACAGACCGTATGTTTCACATTAAGTAATACAAACTTAGTGATATACAAGCTTATTACTCCTAATAATGCCTCGTTTAGAGGAGAAGCACATATCGTATTATTGACAGTGAATTGCCTATCCTACTGTGCCTTTCCTAATGTGGTATTGAATCCCAACACCACTACACTAAAAAGCAGAGTCTATTGCTTTTAATAATGCCTCGTTTAGAGGCGAAGCACGTATCGTAACTTTGACGGTGATATACCTTTCCTAGTTTAGTGGTATTGATTCCCAACACTGCTATATTAGGAAGCAAAGTCTATTGCTCTTAATAATACCTTGTTTAGAGGCGAAACACGTGTCGTGATTTTGACCGTGATATGCCTTTCCTAGTATATATGTATTGAATCCCAACACCACTACACTAAAAAGCGCAGTATTTTGCTCCTAATGATGCCTCGTTTAGATGCGAAAAACGTATCGTGTTATTGACCGTGATGTGCCTATCCTAGTTTAGTGGTATTGAACCCTAACACAACTATTTAAGTACAAAATATTTTTTTAAAACAAAGATTTCAAACTTAAAAGGCTTTTAGCACTCCCTTCGCTGCATGCATACAGCACGTAGTAAGCGTGTGACATTTAGTAGACATCAAAAAAATAATTATTAAACAAAAACTGAAAAAAAAAATGTTTGAATACCGATTAATTACATTCTGATAAAATAATATATCTTTTGATGCAGAAAAGAGGAACGCCAGGATCGCTTCGATGATCGTCGCGAGAAAGAAAAGGATAGATATAAAGAAAGGGAGAGGGGAGATAAACACGAAAAGCACAGGAATGAAAGAGACGACCGCAAGCACTCGGAGCATCGTAGAGATGAGAGAGATGTCAAAAGGGAGGCGAGAGATGACAAGAAAGACGACAAAGAAGCCAGAAAGATAGACAAGGAAAGAAAAGAGGGCAAGGATGTTCGCGATAACAAGGATGATAGAAAGGAGGAGAAAGACAAAAAGGAATTGAAACGTGAGAAGTCGCGGGAGGGAGAGAAGAACAGAGACAAATCCAACCGCCATAGGGATGGTGATAAGGAAGGGAGGGATAAGAAGAGTTCTACAAAGGAGGGGTAAGAATTAAACTTGTAATATCATCATATTCATATGAATACATAAAAAATGAAGTACTTTTTTAGCTCACACAAATAAAAGAATGAAGTTTTGAATTCCACCGTATGTTCTTTTTGAGTACCCGAAGGGTAACCAACGGGACCCTATTACTAAACATCCGCTGTCCGTCTGTCCGCCAGTCTATCTGTAAGAGAGGCTGTATCTCATGATCCGTAATAGGTAGACAGTTGAAATTTTCACAGAATGCTATATAACAACAAATAATAATAAAAATAAAAATAAATTAAAAATTAAAGGGGACTCCCCTACTAGAAACGTGTTTTACGATGGTACGGAACCCTTCATGCGCGTGTCCGACTCGCACTTGGCCGGCTTTTTTTTATATATTGCGCGATATCTTCGTCAATTGTGAACCTATTTTAATGCGTCTTTTTTATTAAATAAGTGGTGGGGGTTTCATAAAAATTTGGAAAAAAAAGAAAAATTTTTACAAGTGGGAAAAATGGGGAATGAATTTTTTAGTGTCTTGATATGACGGCGCTGATATGTCGCGCCGCTTCTACTACATTATAGATATAACTTTGAACTTGTTACATTTCTTAGGCGAACAGGTCGAATTTAAACTTTTAATAAAAAGCAATATTAATAAAATTGAAGTGCCTGTATGTAATATTGAAATAATTAGCTTCTATTAAGCTCAGGGGGTATGTATGCTTTAAGAACATTATATACCTACGTGGTAGAGCGACGCTGCAGCTATATTATGACTGTAGTACGAATGTGTCGGTTCGACCGGGGAAGGACCAAGCTCTCACAGAGTATTAGCATAAAATAGCAGCTTTTATGCTACTACTGTGTTTCGTATGGTGAGTGTAGAGAACCGGAGACCCTTTTTACTGGAAACGAGGCATTCCATCTTATTCCTCACGGGCGACAACGCATCTGTATTTTCATACTTAATTGATGATAGATGTAGATGTCGATGGGTCACAGTATCCACGTACCATCACGTGGACTGTATGCCTGATTATCACCCTCATTCTATATAAAATAAAATTCCATCTAGGCGAAACCGGGTGGGGTCGCTAATAAAAAGTAAAAGCCGACATTAAAGAATAAAAAAGAATAAAAAACGTGTGTGTCATGAAAACAGACGATAGAAGAAACTTTTATATTACAGGGAAACATTTCAATTATTCATCAATGACTTTTGAATAGCACAGATTTGACACTTATTTACATAAAATTAAATACGTATGTGTCACAGTGCATCATCTTCTTCGATCTTAAGAAGAGAAATTATCGGTTTAGGCAACACTAGGACTCACCACAGTGAATCAATTAATTATTAAAGATTCAGAGTGGCGGTCAGTTGTATTCGCTTGCAATGTAAGTGAGTCTGCAAACTCGTGCGGCCATGGCGCGATCTGCGAGCGGCTGGCCGCGGCCGCATGCTCCGCCCCTTATGCCAACGCGTGTGTGTCAGCGAGTACGCGGTCAGTTGCAAATTTTTACAACAGGTCGCGTGTACCGCGTGAAAAATGGTGCTAAATTCAGAGATTTTAATAGAAACAGTGCAAAATTAGTTCGTACATTATGATAATTCGCATCGTGATTACAAAAGCATTAGGATTAAAAACAAAATATATAATAATATTGCAGAATATAATAAGACTTAGTCACGGTTAGTCATGTTACTAACGTCCAATCGTAGCACAGATACCTCAGCAAATGGCACTTCAGGCCGCCGCTGCGACCGCGGTGGTGTGTTGTTGCAGCGGCTGGAGCCGCGGCTCGCGGTTAGCCGCCACCGCAAGCCGCTTGTGTGTGGGAGACGCTTTAAACACATAAAGTTTATTATCATGTTTGTCCAATCCATTCATAACAAACAATCAATAATTTCAAAACTTACCCGTTAATATTATTTATTTGAGTTTATGCCATCTAGCATCTACTCTACGACGTCCTTGAGAGTCAATCAATTTTTGTTAGATTAAATTACTTTACCTATAGAATGTAGTAGATGACGCTATTACTCAAATGCGATCACTCTTTCTAAAATAAATACGTGTACCTTGATAACTGACCGTTGCAATATTGTAATTGTATTAGTATGTACTTTATGGTATGTAATGGCCTGCGTTCTCGCTTTGAATGATCGACCTGAATGACCCGGTACGTAGTGTTTACCCCCACCACTTTTAGTCACACAAATAGGTTGCACATCAGAATTTCAAAGCCCTCGGATGGTAGAGCCATGCTGCAGCTAATATTAGTAGTATAGTTGTAGCACGAATGGGTCGGCTCGACCGGGGAAGGACCACGCTCTAACAGAATACCAGAGTCAAATAGCAGCTTAACACTGCTGTGTTTCGTATGGTGAGTGTAGTGAACCGGAGACCCTTTTTACTGGAAATGAGGCATCTTAGTTGGGTGACAACGCATCTCCATTTTGATTCGCAAACGAGGATATATGTAGATGTCTATGGGCCACAGCAAGCACTTACCATTAGGTGGACTGTGTGCTCGTTTGTCACCTTATCCTATAAAAAAAAGTTTCACTTCAATAAAACTATTATAAATTACCATATAAAAGCTTCTGAAGTCGGAGGCTTTAATTCTTCAATACTCTATGTCTTATGTTGTAAGAGGCGACGGAGGGCAATTGAAAGATTGAAACAGAAGATAGGCAGCATCTTCCTGATAATAACAAATAACCGACTTCAATATAAATAAAATGAGAACATCATCAATGTAGTCGAAGTCAATTATATACGCATTATTATGAATAACTCAAAAACTACTGGTCAGATCTTGATCAAATATTTTGGGACCATATGAGAAGCACTAGCTTTCAAATAAAATAAGAATCATCAAAATCAGTTCACCTAGAAAAATGTTCTGAGGTAACACACATAAAAAAAAATACAGTCGAATTGAGAACCTCTTCCTTTTTTTGAAGTCGGTTGAAAAACAGCGGTTGGCGCACGGAATATAAAAAACTAGAGGAAGTAGCAAAATGCATCATTTGTAACGGAACCACTGTCTCCAAACTCACACATACGCAAAAAATAAATGTGTACCGACAATATTGTGTATCACTTCAATAATTTTCGCGTGATTGGCTATTACTACCATCACTACCATCTCTGCATAGGGAGGACAACTCACTGGCCCACGACGCAAAAGAGAAAGCCGACCTTTTAGGCTCCCTTTTTGCGTCCAACTCGACTGTTGATGACGGGGGAACACCACCGACCATCCCGCGGTGTGAGTGCTCCATGCCGGATGTGCTGTTCTCACAGCGCTCGGTTCGCAGAGCACTCCTCTCCCTTGACATCCACAAGTCGAGTGGGCCTGACGGAATCCCTCCAATTGTGCTGAGGACGTGTGCTCCGGAGTTGGCACCGGTTCTAACGCGTCTTTCCGGTACTCCTACTCCCTAGGCGTAGTCCCGAAATCATGGAAGACAGCTTTTGTCCACCCGATCCCTAAAAAAGGCGACCGCTCAGACCCGTCCAACTACAGGCCTATCGCCATCACCTCCTTGTTCTCCAAAATAATGGAATCCATTATTAACTGCCAGCTCATGCGGTACCTTGAGGATCACAAGCTGATTAGTGACCGCCAGTACGGTTTTCGTCGGGGTCGATCACCTGGTGATCTTCTGGTCTACTTAACTCATAGATGGGCGGAGGCAGTAGAGTCCAAGGGGGAGGCATTGGCCGTTAGTTTGGACATTGCGAAGGCCTTCGATCGGGTTTGGCACAAAGCGCTTCTTTCGAAGCTCCCTTCCTATGGGCTTCCCGAGAAATTATGCAATTGGATCACCAGCTTTCTTGAAGATCGGAGCATCCAGGTCGTTGTAGACGGTGCATGCTCCGACTACAAGCCTATTAACGCTGGTGTTCCACAAGGCTGCGTGCTATCACCAACGCTGTTTCTTCTGCATATCAATGATATGTTGCTAATTGGTAACATTCATTGCTATGCGGATGACAGCACTGGTGATGCTCTATACACCCGCCGTGCCAATATTTCTCGGGAAAACGTCACCGAGTACCGGAACAAACCGGTCTGAAGTCGAGTCTTTGCTGGACAAAGTCTCGGATTGGGGGCGACTAAATCTAGTCCAGTTTAATCCTCAGAAGACACAAGTTTGCGCGTTTACCGCTAAAAAGAACCCCTTTGTCGTATCTCCTCAGTTTCAATGTACTCCCCTTGTTGGAGGCCGAGGATTCCGATACTGGCTGAGGCCAGTATCGGAATCCTCGGCGTCGACATATCGAATGACGTGCAGTTTCGTGGTCACTTGGAAGAGAAGGCCAAATTGGCCTCTAAAAAGCTTGGCGTGCTCAGCAGAGCGGGACAGTATTTCATGCCGGCTCAACGCCTGCAACTTTACAAGGCGCAGGTTCGGCCTCACATGGAATACTGTTCCCATCTCTGGGCTGGGGCTCCCCAGTGCCAGCTCCTTCCACTTGACCGCATCCAGCGCAGAGCGGTTCGAATCGTCGACGACCGAGTCCTTTCCGATCGGCTCGACTCATTGGCGTCGCGAAGAGATGTTGCATCTCTTTGCATTTTCTTTCGCATTTACCACGGGGAGTGCTCTGAGGAATTGTTCGGATTAATCCCACCTGCCACATTTCACGAACGCACATCGCGGCAGAACTCCCGATACCATCCACACCATTTGGATGATTGGCGGTCCACCACTGTGCGATTTAGAAGATGTTTTCTTCCTCGCACAACTTCCTTGTGGAATAGTTTACCACCAGTGATTTTTTCGGACCGATACGACTTAGGGACCTTCAAGAAAAGAGCCTACTCCTTTTTAAAAGGCCGGCAACGCATCTGCAATTCCCCTGATGTCGCGGTTGTTCGTGGGCGGCGGTAGTCACTTACCATCAGGTGAGCCGCATGCTCGTTTGCCCCCTCTGCTATAAAAAAAAACAATATTAAAAACTAAAAGAGAATGGCATTATGTTACTCATCATTCACTTGAGTACGAACCATAAGTTCTTAAAAATAGAGGTCATATTACTTTTTATCAACGAAGTTTCTAGAATTAATGAGCAAAGAGCAATGGCAGAAAAATAGTTGACGAATATTATAGCGTCTAGAAATAAGTTATATATAAAATGAGTTTTCTTATTTTTATATGATTTTTCAAATAAAAACGTATTTTAATTAAAGCCACAGAAAAAAAACAAACAATTTAGGAATATCAAATGACTTAAATCATTTTACTCTATTCAAATGTTGCCATTTAGTATATTCATACTATTTTCGTATACACTTTGTAAGACTACCAACACAACACACAAAATATTTTTATATTAAGTTATTATTAGTAATAACTGTACTATCAGTAATAATAAAAATAAAAGAGATATTTCTGAGAATAAGTCTCTTACAAAGAATTTCCTACAATAATACATTATCTCAATCACAGTACTATGTAACAATTCCATTTAATGTTATGCCAACACTAGCTAAAATAAAATGTCACTGTTTTTTTATTGGCTTTACGGCTCTGGGTTCTAGCCCTTCTGAGAATGTCACTATGATACAAAAGCCCTGGAGCCATGCCAGAAATATACATTTATAGCCATGCCAGAAATATACAAATATATAATAGAGATACAATAATTTAAAAACTCTCAATTATGTATTAAGCTAACATCAAACAACCACAGGAAGCATGACTTTTTCCAAGTGACATAGGACATAACCTAAAAAGGTTCAAATGTAAATATGTTTTTTTGGCGCCTTCTCAGGACAAAATTCTTTGACAGAGTTGTTAAAGGACTGACGCTTAACATTTTAAGATATTTTTGGTATATAGACGCTACCATTTCTTCTCAACTATTTTTATGTATGAAAGTCTGCCATTGTTCTTTAGCTTCTTAACGCTAGATGTCGCAATAATACATTCACATTATTATAGACACAATGGTAATAGATATAACGTTGATGTTTTTTTATATTCTGTGGATCCCGTGTACGAAACTTAGACGAGACCCCTGTGTTCAGTAGTGAACTTTGATCGGCTGTCCATCAATTAAAACTTATAAAAGTCGACTGTTAAACAAATGCCTCCCCCATAAATTGCTTCGTAGGGGAGGAATTTTGCCATAGTTACCACGCTTGGCTGGTGGGTAGGCAACCGAAGTTTTATTTAGAGTTGTTATCAGGAAGATGCTGCTGCCCATCTCCTGTTTCAGTTTCCCTCTGTCGCCTCAGATATGGCTTTCACTTCCAATAGGTTCCAGTAAAGTAACTTTTGTGTTAGATCCATGCTGCAGTCTATATTTATGGTATAGTTGTAACACGAATGTGTCGGCTCGACCGGGGAAGGACCACGCTCTCGCAGAATACCAGCGTAAGATGACAGCTTGACACTGCTGTGTATTGTATGGTGAGCGTAGAGAACCAGAGATCCTTTTTACTGGGAACGAGGCATTCTATCTTAGAACTCAGGGGTAACAATGCATCTGCATTTTGATTTGTGATCGAGGATAAATGTAGATGCCTATGGGCCGCAGCAACCACTTACCATCAGGTGGGCTGTGTGCTCGTTTGTCACCGTTATCCTATAAAAAAAAAACTTCCACATGGCCACAAGCTGTGAACTTAACTGCATCGTTGGTGTAGTGTAGTGGTAAGCGCGTTTGCTGATCATGTGAGGTCGTGGTTTCTTATCCCGGGTCGGGTCAAAGTCAGTTATTGTTTTTTTTGTCAAGAAAATCTCAGTAGCTGCCCCGGAGTCAGGAAGTTGACGGTGTCTCACCACAGAGCCTCGGAAAGCACGTAAAGCCGTTGAACCTGCGCCTGATCTCTCTCCGGTCGTGTCGGTTTACCGTCCCATCGGACTATGAGAGTGACGGAATAGAAAGTGCACCTGTGCTTGATCATACACTCGTACACTATAATCCTGTCCTGCGCAGATGGCTAGCCGCCGTTGAGTTTTTTTTTATAGGATAGGGTGACAAACGTGCACACAGTTCGTCTGATTGTAAGTGGTTGCTGTGTTCACATGGACATCTACATCTATCATAAATAAAGAATCAAAATGCAGATGCGTGGTCACCCGTGGGGACTAAGATGGAATGTCTTTTTTCCAGTAAAAAGGGTGTCCGGTTCTTTACACTCACCGTACGAAACACAGCAGTGTTAAGCTGCTATTTTACGCTGGTATTCTGTGAGAGCGTGGTTCTTCACCGGTCGAGCCGATCCATTCGTGCTACAACTATACTAGTAATATAGTTGCAGCATGGCTCTACCACATATAATAGATTGGCCAGAACAGTGACAGAAATTCTATCTGGAGAACATTATGATTAGGTTACTAATAATGCCAGTTATACAATACTGTAGTTTCAGGTGTAATTTCTTTTTTTTTTAGTACGAGGTCTCCAAAAGAACGAGATCGCAAGGACTCTACTTCGGAAGGCCGCGAGAAGACGCAGGAGAAGACGTTGCTGGATGATGACAAGAAGAAGGTATGATGTGTGTGATGTGATTTTAGAGGATTCATCGCCCCATATCATCGCGTGGTTGTGACTACAGGATATGCCAGAAAGATCTTATATTCTTTTCTTTCTATATTCTTTTTTTTTAAATACCAACTTATTAACATTACTAATAGAACCCTTTAATCACTCATGGTGAGCTTAAAATATTTATGTTAGGAGCGGTTCACGACGATACTCGAATGGCGGATTCGAATCCACGACCTTTTGAGTTTGCGGTCCGCAAAATGCCTAGGCTAGTTTCACTTTGATTATGGCCTACAGCCTCCAATGGAAAAATAACAAGAAAATCTCAGTAGCTGCCCGGACTCAGGAAGTTGACGGTGTCTCACCACCGAGCCTCGGAAAGAATGTAAAGCTGTTGAACCTGCACCTGCTATCTCTCCAGTCGTGTCGAATTGCCGTCCCATCGGACTATGTGAGTGAGGTAATAGAGAGTGCACCTGTGCTTGATCATACACCTGGGCATTATAATTCCGTTCTGCGCAGATGGCTAGCCTCCGTTGAGATTTTTTTTATAGGATAGGGTGACAAACGAGCACACAGTCCGCCTCATTGTAAGTGGTTGCTGCGGCCCATAGACATCTACATCTATGCTCAATAAAGAATCAAAATCCAGATGCGTCGTCACCCGTGAGGACTAAGATGGAATGCCTCGTTTCCAGTAAAAAGCGTCTCCGGTTCTCTACACTCACCATAGGAAACAGCAGTTTTAAGCTGCTATTTTACGCTGGTATTCTGTGAGAGCGTGGTCCTTCCTCGGTCGGGCCGACCCATTCGGTGCTACAACTATACTACTAATATAGCTACAGCGTCAATTAATTGAATTAAATTAAACAAGTCCGGTCGTCCATGGAGTACTACTGTCACATAAGGGCGGGTGCTGCAAAATGTCACCTGGCAGCGTTGGACTCAGTAGAGACACGTCTCATTGGTGACCTTGAATTGGTTGAAACCAATTTTGTCAGCCTCGAGCACAGGCGCAGAATAGCCAGCCTCTCGGTAGTCTATAGGATGCATTACGGTGAGTGTGTGCAGGAATTACACGAATTCCTCCCACTCCTTTCACCATCGGACGACGAGGCGGCTGGCGGGTCTTCACCCCTTTGTTGCCGATATTCCGCGCATTGATGCAAACGGTTTGCCTCGTCTTTTGTAATGCATACAGCAAAGGAGTGGAATAATTTGCCGGCGTCTATTTTGCGATCCGAATACAATCCGGGCGTCTTCAAGGCAAGAGTGAAAAGGCTTTTGTTACGATAAGACAGTGCGATTTACCATCTAAGACTGCATCACCACTTACCACCAGGTGGGATTGTGGTCCAGCACTGGCTTATAATAAGTAAAAAAAAAAAATAAGACGGTTATTATTTAGATATCAATAAAATTAACGTCATATCTAGATTTTATAAATACAGCAAATTAAAGTTGACTTCAAATTGATTATTGACTAAATTTGTTCGAATGCGTGTATTGGTCCCAGGAGGCGGAGCGGAACGAAGCGCGCAAGGAGCTGATGGAAATCGTCCGCCTCATAAAATCCAGACAACGCAACCGCGAGACCAAAGCTGCCGGTGAGTATGACTGCCGGCCTGTGCTAGCGATCGTCACTGCCGCTGCGACACAGCAACATGCAATTTTTGTCTTTTCTACAGACTTCAAAAAAAGGAGGCGGTTCTCAATTCGACTGTATTTTTAATGTGAAAGCTGGTGCTTCTCATGTGTAAATTTGATAAAGGTCTGATAGTGATTTTTGAGTTCTCCTTAATAATGCGTATTTTGACTTCGATTACACTGATGATGTTCTCATTTTATTGATATTAAAGTAGGTTGTACAATTTTTTTTTTATTTTACCGCTTGTATTGTCTATGTTTATTGAATGGCGTATGTTCGTGTCGTTTGCGGGCGGCAATGTTCGGTACCATTCGTAGCCGTCCGGGCGCCTTCACACAGATATCAACCGATACATTGATATTGAAATATATAGGTTCAATATCAGATATTCAAATCCAATACATCTATACAAATAAATAAAATTGAAGTGTCTGTTTGTAATGTTAAATTAACAGCTTTTTACTAAATGCATATGAAAGTATAAAATAAAAAAATAAAAAATAATTGTGTTTGTTCTGGCTAATCTCCGATACGGCTGGCCCGATTTTGACGGGACTTGCACTGGAGAACTGATGTTATAAAGAGTAACTTAAGCTACTTTTATTTTAGAAAATATAATTAGGGTTCCGCGCAAAAAAAAAAAATTAAATCCCATAAAATCAATCGTAATATCCACGCGGGCGAATTCGCGGGAACAGTTAGTAGATACTATAGATGATGGTATTATTAATGACGGAGGTGACGGAGGCGGTATTAACCTTGCCTACGGTCTAGCATAAAATCCCCCTATGAAGCAATCTATGAGGAGGCCTATGTTCAGCTGTGGACTTCTGATAGACTGTGGTGATGAAGATGATTACAATATAATAATTTAGTGAAATCATTCATTTTGTAGAAGTGAAGAAGAAAAAGCATGGGTCGTCGAGCGATTCCTCGGACTCTGAGGACGAGAAGCGTTCCAAACGCAAGAGATCTTCCGAGAGGAAACGCAGCGCCAGCCCAAGGTCAGTCTACGTACAACTAGCAGTTAATAATTAACAATATTAGTACATTGTAATTAACTATATAATTCGCCTCGACTTCGCACGGCCGATTTCTGCATTTCAAAAACAGCGCCACCTACCGGGAACAATTGTGAATTTAAACCATTCCCGAATAAAGTTAACACAAAATTTCATCGAAATCGGTCCAACCGTTTAAGAGGAGTTCAGTCACACATACGGACAGAAGAATTATATATTATATTATAAAGATGATTGATTAATTATTATGATTGATATATATATATATTTCTTAATCCAGTCAAAACATTAAAAAATATGATATAATAACTAAGATGAAATGTCTCTTTTGCAGTGAAAAATGATTAATATGTTACTTAAAAAAATGAGGTTTTTACATAAGTTAATAGAAGACACCCCCAATCCTGTGTTTATTTCTTAATATTAATAGAGACATTTTACATACATAAACCCGCGGCTTTGCAGCGCTGTAGCCAATCACTGCGTCAATTTAGTTAATCTTTATTTAGATATATACAGGGTATTTTTGGAACGCTCCCGAAAACTAAGACAGGCGACAGCACCAAGTATACCTTTGATCATGGGTCACAAATAAATTCGATCCTGATGAAAAAAAAATCATCTTTTAACAACGTTTTATTAGCTTTATTCACGCGCTATCATGTTAGTACAGCTAAATGAAACGATAATTTCATAAAAAATATCATGAAAATACTGAAACATAAAACCAGCAGTGGAATGACTGAATTGTATCACCTAACTAAAGGTCAATGTACTCGCGAACGCAAATTCGCGCGGCCCGCAACTAGCGGGCCATACCACTACATACGCTAATGAAAAAATACTTAAATGAAATGTAACCAAGGTTGGAGTCATGCGTTTTTATTCATCGTGTAGGTATGTTTATTATTCTCATGTATTCAGTTATGTACCTATTCAGATTAGTTCAGTACTAAGTTATTTAAAAAAAAATAGTTATGAAACAACTTACCGCTCTAAATCCTCCGTGGTCTTATGAGATGCAGCTCAAATTGTGCTCCATTCATTTCAAGGTAGATTTGGGTGCAGGCGGGGCATCATCGTGTGGTCTTCGACACAGTCCGTACATAGTTTCTCGAAAGCATCCACGATCCTTTGGCGCATTTTGTCAGCACTATCACACTCACGATTAAAAACCCTTTCTTTCACATACCAAAAAGAAGTCTAACGGGGTCAGATCTGGTGAGCGAGGTGGCCAAGCGTGTGGTCCTAGTCTGCCGATCCAGCGATCATCAAATAGCTCATTGAGGCGCTCACGGACGAACCTCACGACATGGTATCGCTGTCTGTTCAGTCGCTGTGGCAGAAACACTGGTCCCAGTATGCGATCCTTAAATAAACCTGCCCATACGTTAACCGACCATCGGGTTTGGTGCCCGGTTTGTCGAACAGCGTGCGGGTTAACCTCTGAATACACGTGTGTATTTCTTCGGTTCCACAGGCCGTTTCTGGTAAATGTCGACTCATCCGTCCAGATAATGTGCTCAATGGAACCAGGCACACGTTGTTGCTGGTATAATAACCAACGGCAGAAAACTCGTCGGCGGTCGTGATCGCCGGGAACTAAAGCTTGCACTTTGTGCAATTTGTATGGGCGCATTCGGTTACGCTTCAACACTTTGTGCACTGCACAGTATGACACACTTGTTCCATCGCGACGTCTTAATAATTTATTTGGCGATACTTCGTGTACCTGGGTTCGGATAACATGTTGCTGTATTCACAATCACTATAAAAGTACGCGTTAAGCATTATTAAAACAAAAAACGTAACAACGAGAATAATACCAACACGTAATCACAAGTAATAACAATACGATTGAGCTGTCGCTCGCGCACGCGTGTACAAAATCAACACGGAACTGTTTCAAAAACTACAATTAATAACGAACCCCAACAAAACTGAAACCTACTGCTAGGACAGTTATTATACTCTTTGTCTACTGCGTCACAGCGTGAGGCGACACGAGCCGGCCGGGTTACATTCTGCCGTCGTCGGGTTACATAAAGAAGGACGCAACTAACAAAAACGTAAAATGGAAATAAAAAATAAATTGATGAATTTTTCTTTCAGACCCTGTGTCTAAAGTATATTAAAAGGTATCTATTTGAAAATTGAAATATATACGTAGAGACATGAAGATTTTAAGGACGAACAAATTTTTTGATAATTTGTTTATTTATTTAAATAAAACGAATTTTCCTTTTCATCTTAGCTTAAAAAATACACCTGGCAACACAAAAACATCGAAGGAAAGACGCATATAACTATTTGCGTCTTTCCAACCTAATAAATTAAAAAAAAAACTGCCATTCATTTAACAATTTTACATATTTTGGAAAGGTCATTTGAAGTTGAAAGGACGCTAATAGTAATTTACTACTTTTTTTTAATAAATATTAGAAAAGCATTGGTAGTGAGACACAAAAAATAACAACCCGCAACTCTTGAGTAATGATTTTAAAGGGGATATCATACAAGACTTACTACGATAATAATTAAAAATTAAAAATTTTGTACAACCGACTTTAATATAAATAATTAAGGATAACTCAAAAACTATTAGTCTGACCTCGATCAAATTTATATGGGACCACATGTGAAACACCAGCTCTTAACAATAAGATATAAGCTCTTAATAATAAGATATAGAATAATAAGACAAGACCAAGAATAATTGAAATTTAAGTAATCGATGCAAATATTGTTAAATATGACGTAGCAACTGGTTAAATAAGTCTTTTCTTTTATGTTGAATTTGTATAAGTCTTTTCTACTAAAAAAGTCATCTGTGATCAACAGTTACGTCTAAAATTCTTACGATAATTTCTAAAATATTGATATTTGTGAATATTAAAAAAATTTAGTAGATCGCCTTCTTATCATGAATCGAATGGTATATTTAACTCATTTATTCATAAATTGTTAGATGCGCCCTTTTTTCTTACGACCACAGCATTGTTTCGTACCGAGCTAGATACAGGTCGATAGCGGAGGGGGTGTGGGTACAGTCGCGTTCTAAAGTACTACATGGTATTGGGCTATTGTTTTATAATATTATAGTAATTAATTGTTTTAATGTCGAATCATAATAGGTGTTTTACTAGCTACTTAGAACTTTGGAAGAGGTGGGAATTAAAAATGGATAATGTTTACATACTACGTCCATTATGACGTCTTGGGTCACATGGAAGCCAGATGTTAATGGTGTGTTGGTGTTACTGGATGCTACTTCATCATCACTTTCATCTTCGCTTGAGCTTCCGTCATCAGGTCGATCACATGGTAATTTTTTCGGTATTCTTCCTCCACACTTTTAACTTTACTGCACAATTTTCCCCATTCACCTTCTCCTATCATATTTACCTTTTCGATCACTAGTTTAGTCATAAAACAATAGATATAAATAATTTTTCTTTCCTTCCTTTTTAAAACATCGTCGCGAGTCGCAAAGTAAGCTGTGTATGCGACTGTATTTTTGGAGCGAACAAAGCGCGGGAACTAATAGCATGCAGGCACACTAATACTGGCGGATTGTTCCCCCGTCGCGCGCCTTTCGTACCAATATGTGATAAATCGCTCAGTGCCCAAGTTCAAGGCCAGCGTTTGTTTTTCACCGTTCGCGCGTACATTAACCTCCATTAGTCAGGTGATATCAATTCAGTTTCCACTGCTGGTTTTATGTTTCAGTAGTTTCATGATATTTTTTATGAAATTATCGTTTCATTTAGCTGTACTAACATGATGGCGCGTGAATAAAGCTAATAAAACGTTGTTAAAAGATGATTTTTTTTTCATCAGGATCGACTTTATTTGTAACCCATGATCAAAGGTATACTTGGTGCTGTCGCCTGTCTTAGTTTTCGGGAGCGTTCCAAAAATACCCTGTATATATATATATATATATATAATTATTCTATTCGTATGTATGTGACTGGACTCTTCCTAAACGGCTGGACCGATTTTGATGAAATTTTGTATGTGTGATTAAATTGATTCAAGAGTGGTTTAGATTAACAATCAATGAATCCGATAGGTGGCGCCGTTTTCGAGATCCAGAAATCAAAATTATCGCTAGTTTTATATATTTTCTACCAACTTGAAAAAAGGAGGAGGTACTCAATTCTACTGTACTGTACTGTACTTCGATTGTTTTTTATTTGTGTTACCTCGATAACTTTTTTCTGGGTGAACCGATTTCGATGATTCTTCTTTTATTTGAAATCTAGTCCTTCTCATGTGATCCCATATAAATTTGATCAAGGTCTGACCAATAGTTTTTGATTTATTCTTAATAATTTATATTGAAGTCAGTTGCACAAAATTTTAAATTATTCTTTCACAGGTCGCGGCACAGTCCGAAGCATTCGCGTCGTCGTCGCTCCTCTTCTTCACACTGAGGTTTTTATTGAACTCCTTACGAAATCAAAATCTCATATTTGTCATTTTGATCTAGCACTTCTGCCATCCTACATCCCTCCTAGTATGTAGAGAAATCGCCTGGACACTTTTCTAAAAACTTTATTAAAGACAGTGATGACGATGCCACAATAACTGATAAGATGAATTCAGCGTTCTGAATTCATTACTTTAGTTGGAGGTTTTCCCTTTATTTTTTTTTATATGACATTCTACAATAATTCATAAGACAAATTAGTGATTTCTTATCTTTATATTTGATCTTATATTTACGCATTAATTAAAACAAATTTTACGTATTTTATTGCGTTAATTCTAACTTATTTTTAATTCCCGACTTTTCGAGTGCTTTACAGCACCGAACCGAAAAGCAGGTTAAAATTAATCCCGACAAAATCCGTAAAATAAGTTTTATTTAAGACAAATTAGATTCACCGTTCTTTGCCCGTAAGAGATCAAACATGTGAATTCAATAGTTTAGTCTGGAGTTTTTTTTTTTAATTCTTTTTTAATATGACGTAGTATATCTACTAGGCAAAGGTTGATAGAGTTTAGAGACATGCCTACAATGTTTATGGTTAATAGTTAACACTTAGCGGCCTTACTCCGCATAATCGTTTATTATCACTTACTTAAGTATATATATATCACTTTATCTGTCTCTTTCTATTGACATATAGAATTTGGAGGGAGAGAGAGAGAGAGAAGGCAAGCAGTTCATAAAGTTGACGTCGATTTTTATGAGTAAGGTTGTATATCATTTGAAATACTTTTTCGGTACAAGCTGTCAAAGTTAAACGTTTTTAGTAGAAATTGTAAGAGTTTTTTCTAACTTCTAATAAAATCTGACTTCAAAGGACTAAAAATAGTAAAATAATATCTACTTAACAACTTCTGAAGTCGGTTTTTTTTTCAAACGTTTCCTTCACACTAAGATTTTCTCCTGTATCGTGAAAGTTTCATTATTACAGCCCTTCACAAGTCCACTGCTGAACATAGGCCTCCCCCAAGGAATGCCACAAAGCACGGTCCTGAGCCACCTGCATCCATCGACTTCCTGCATGTCTTACCAGGTCGTCACTCCATCTCGTGGGGGGTCGCCCTACACCTCGCCTACCGGTACGAGGCTACCACTCGAGAACCTTTCAAGAAGAGGAGAATTTCACAAGGACTAACTTTCAGACGCGGAACAATTATTTGGAGGCTATACAAATACTGAATCCGTGCGGGTTTGAACCTTGTTAAGCCACTGCGCCACGATACACGCAAATAATTCTGCCATATTGCGATATGTTTTAACACCGACTTCTGAAGCTGTTATGTGGAAATAGTTGTATTCTTTTTTTTTATTTGGAATCTGGGCCAATTTTAACTAAATTTGTTTTTAAACTGCCTATTTGCATGTAGGTATGGGATCTTAGAGGGGACTTTTTAATAATATAGGTATATTCATTTTGTAAGAAATACAATTTTCTGTCTAATTTAAGATAGAAATATGTTTACAATAGAAATTCAATAGCTATCAGTTTATTTATGATCTTCCTAAGTTACAATTGTTTCTTTAAATATCTGAAACCAGATATGAAATTTTATTCATGTGAATTTAATTATAGACGTAAAGAATTGACTTGGTATAAAATCATAAAAAATCACATTACACATTTTTAATATTACTCAACAAACGTTTGGTAAAAAATAGTGATGTTTAATAATGGATTATTTATAAGTTATTCACATCCTATAGTGTTATTCAAAATTGAACTAAAAGACAGTAAATTGGTACATATGAAGTAATGTGTGTTACAGTCTTGGTCTAATCTTGAAGGAATTTCTATAGAATTTGAGCTAATGATTTAATGCTGGATTATGAACATAAATCTATTATGAACGAACGTCACTAGCTAAATATCGCGTTCAAAGAAGAATGTTGGGACTAAAATAACTAAAAAATGTAAAAACTTCTGGAACTTTTTTGTGTGACATGTCGATTAAAATAAAATATTCATCAAAACAATGTTTCTTTTATTTATATATACCTACCATATACCTACCTATGTTTCCACTGCTCCGTATTGTCTTAAGAGGCGACAGGGAGAAACTATCCGGGGGATGGGCTGCAGGGTCTTCATAATGACAACTAAAAAATAAAAAACTTGAAAATATAAAATTAACTAGCCTGCCAAACGTGTCAACTATGGTAAATATAACTTTAATAACAATTTATTGTGAGGCCTATGTTCAGCAGTGGCATTTAGTAAATAAAAAAATAAGTAATACTTTTAATCTTGTTAACAACATAAATGTAGATACAGAGATTTAGTAGAGATCTAGGCTTGAATTCCTCCTACGCCGACGTCGATCGCGGGTACTAATGTACATTGTGTCCTGTATAGCCGCACACTACGACCCTGACGACAGCGGCGCGTAGTTTGCTACGTACGCGTACGCGACCGACCGTACGCAACCGACTTCAGCGTACGAGGAATTCAAGCCTTAGTTTACACCTGTAACTTTATCTACTTGTGTTTAAATTTCAGAAACAATGAAAGGAATAATTGAAAGAAACGACTAACCTACTATCTACTAAGACGTAGTGATTATACGGAGTGGTGATGACATTAATTGAAACTTATTTCCGTACATGACGCAGTGGGGCTGCGTTGAAATATTGTTAATATATAAAAAAAAGTGATGTTCCATACATTTTGACTGTATAGGTATTGTAGACAGTGTAGGAAACAGCAGATGTATTTTTAATAACCGACAAATTTCAACGCAGGGTTCCTGAATTATGAACTCTGAACACGTGGTTTAAAAGAATGTCATTCGTCCTGTCCCACCTTGTATACTCTGCCTACTTTATTGATCATGTCGTGTGGTGGTGACGTGAATCCATCATCCTATATTGACACACGAGTACAAAATTAGGCTAGACCCAGTTCTTTAGCCATATTTTTTTTTATAGGATAGGGTGACAAACGAGCACACAGTCCACCTGACGGTAAGTGGTTGCTGTGGCCCATAGACATCTACATTTATCCTCGTTTGCGAATCAAAATGCAGATGCGTTGTCACCCGTGAGGACTAAGGCTGAGATCTATAGAGCGTACTTTGACTTTGCTCAGTCTTAGCTTACGATAAACTTAGCTGAGCATATGCTCAGCATAATTTTTGATTCTGAATTTATAGTTGTATCGGGCTAAGATTAAGCTAAGCTTATGCTAAGGCCCAGACAGTCCAAATATTAATGGATGCTTGATTCCACTCCTTATGTTTTTGACTTTACTGTATAAAATTAAAAAATATACATATTTAAAATCAGTATTACTGTATAAAATTAATAAATATATATATTTAAAATGGAAAAAAAGTCCAAATTGAATTTCATAAATTATTTATTATTACATGAAATAGATAGCGGTCCTATGAGAACGGGAACGGATGGGATGAGTGCAAAGTCAGAAAAAAAGCTTTTAAGAAATTCGATATAAGATTGAAATTACGTAAATAGAAAATGGATTAATGCTATTTAAAACTAGAAGACGGCCTAAAGCTGCCTATTTATTGATATAATTAATTAGAGTAACATAAAAACAACAATTTAAAATTAATGTAGTGGTTTTGAATAATATCCTAAGTTTTACGTAAGTCGTCGTTATCGTTGACTTAGGCTTTGCTAAGCGCGCACTCAGCACGACTTCAAAGTTAGCTCTATAAATACAGACATTGTCTTAGCTCGAAAGTAAAGTCTGACCAAAGTCAAAGTACGGTCTATAGATCTCAGCATAAAATAGAATGCCTCTTTTCCAGTAAAAGTGTCTCCGGTTCTCTACACTCACCATACGAAATACAGCAGCATGAAGCTGCTATGTGACGCTGGTATTCTGTGAGAGCGTGTTCTTTCCCCGGTCGAGCCGACCCATTCGTGTTACAACTATACTACTAATATAGCTGCAACATGGCTTTACCACGTGTATAAATTGGCCCACGAGAGCATATGTCTCCCCCATGGATTGCCTCGGTGGAGGATTTAACAACCCCATTTTGTAGATTTTCCTACGCCGACACTACACGGCATTTACTGTATAATGTCATATTAATATTATAGTACTTAGCAGGATATATTGGTCGCTTACGTGACCTATCGGTCGAGTCCATGACAACTGGGTCGCGGACCTAACTTCGAATTCCAAGGAGCTGTGCCAAACCCACGACGTATCACATTCCTCGTTATTCCCTTGGGATATGGCTGTTAGAGAATCCATGCTAAATGTTCTAATAATCGAATAATGAATGAAATGATTTTTCAAAGGTTAAAGGTAGCCTTCGTTAACTATGACATCAGGACGGAAAAACCTGTAATGGAATGCTAATGGAGTAATCTCTAATGAAACTATTATAAACAGTATCTCGCCCTCTTTCACCCTCGCCGCCTTGATCAGCTCGCGGCATTTCACAAATACCAAAAAAGACAAAAATGGCTTACAGCACTAATATTTTAGATCATAGTCACATGTGAGGGTCACAATAAAAAGCTTCATATACTATCATTAGCCTAGCACTGTGTGTGTTGTGGTTTCATAATATCTCGGTAAATGATGGATGTAGCCAAAGAGAATATAATCACTACGTTTAGATGTAGCTTAACAACTAGATGGTAGATTCTAAACAAACAGAATTTCTCTGCAAATAAAACCAATAAGTTTTTTTTTTATAGGAGAGAGTGACAAACGAGCACACAGTCCACCTGATGGTAAGTGGGTGCTGTGACCAATAGACATCCACATTTATCCTCAATAAAGAATCAAAATTCAGATGCGTTGTCACCCGTAAGGACTAAGATGGAATGCTTCTTTTCCAGTAAAAAGGGTCTCCGGTTCTCTACAATCACCATACGAAACACAGCAGTGTTAAGCTGCTACTTTACGCTGGTATTCTGTGAGAGCGTGGTCCTTCCCCGGTCGTGCCGACCCATTCGTGC